AAAATATACAGTTAGGATTCTATACCTACAAATACTTGTTTTGCGAGCAGTGCTAAAAAATATTAACAAAATTTATAATTTTAAAAATTACTAACAGAAATAAAATATGTAAACAAAAATGTGTTAGAAACTAGTTTAACTTTTCACCAGTAGTGAGAATCTAATAAATAAAAATGTACAGTTTTTTTGTAATAAAGAAACAATTTTTATCCATTAATATTTAACAATAACTATACCATTACCCCATGCCAACCCTCAATTTTACAAGAATGGCTATTTTACAATCATGTAACGCACAGAAATTCATAAATTATATATATTCTTACTTTATATTCATCTATACAATATAAAAAATTTATATCAAAAAAGTATTTATAGACGTAATTCAATATATTAAAATACATAAAAAGTCAAAATGAAATTTTTTACAAAACTGAATTTTTTTTACAAAATTTTAAATGTAAGTAATCGATTTGTGGATATTAAGAAAACGATAAAAAAATATGTTACCTTACATGTCATAAATAGTTAAAAATATATAACAGCCATATAAAGATTTAAATAATAAATGAAAAAATATTTTAGCAAAATTGTTAAATTTCTTTCTTGTTGAATACAGGGCAGTACAATATATGCATCTTAATTGCGTGGGCTTACAAGTCAAAAAATAGGTTTATGAGTATAAGCAATTTAAAGTTTCATAAATTATTTAGGGATTCTCAACTGCTTCAAAGAAAATATACATGCTTTCGGAATACAATGGACTGTTTTTACATGATATACAAAAATATAAACCTATTTTGACAAATGTTTTCCTTTTGCTTGTAAGCCCACGAGTTAATATTTGATGAATAAAATTGAATATTTTCAAATAATTCGGAAGAAATTTTGCCTAATGGTATAATTTCTTTAATAACATGGCTGGTAAATATATCCAACTAAACATATAGCCCACAAAATAAGTCAAGATATTAACTTTTGTCAAAAAGTCCTTAATCCTAAATTATATATAAAAGTTCTATACAAAAATGTTCATTAATATTTCACTGAATGATAATATATCAAATTGTGATGTTAACGTCAAAATTAACAACAAATGCTTTCTTAACACTGGGTTAAAACATAAAAGTACATACAAAAAAATTGGTTTTTGACAACCGATAATATCTCCAAGAAATCTATAAATCTATAAACCTTAAAGTAGAACTATGTATTCTGGCATTTCAGAAAAAATATTACATAAACATGTAGCTGCGTATTTGAAAAATTAGTTTCGTTTTAAATCTGGAAAATGTACCTATCTACATCAACAGCTTGCGGTTTTCCTAAAATGATTTTTAATAAATTTAATTATGATAAACGGCATACTTCAGCAACGCGAGAATTTAAATTGAAATAAATGTAATAGAGCACTACTTGTTAATATTAAAAAATTAAAATTAAATTTTACTTGTTTTAAAGATTTGTTTTATATAGACTTATCTATGTTACTTAACTTGTAAAGTTCATATAAAAAATCTGCCAAATTGTTTTAAAATGGTTATCGTATACTTTATTACATTTTTTTTTTTATTGAAGAAGTTGATATTTTAGTTATTAGACTTTCTTTTGACAACTTTGACAGTAAATATTTTCGTAAATTTGCCAGTTCGTAGAATAATTTAAAGTGAAATGTTTCATACTCTCACTTCATAGGAACGGTGAAGAATAAAAGAAAAATATTATCAAAGAGAAAAATGGTTTGAAGCTCGAAATATATTTAAAACGTTGAAAAATATTAATTGTTTTTTAAACATAACCCAATTCTTTCAATCTTTTCAATTTTATTGAAATGAAAAATATTTTGACAGTTGTATGCGAATTACCATTGATTCTAAAAAAATAAAGCAGCCATAGAAACGGCTGTCATAGTTGTCAAACTTTTAATTATTTCAAACGTACCTACCTTATAAAGCGATATTTTGAGAGTCAAAATGGTGGGCGATTGGCATACAATCAACAAAACAGAATTCAGTTTATCAATATTTTAAGCTCTTAATGTAAAAAAAAACTAGACGTTTGTGTACCAATCATTCACCATATTGAATCAGTTTGACAGGACGTTAAAATGCCTAATTAAAGTCAAAATAGTCTTTCGTGAATTTTTTAGGTTGCCTTGACAATAACGACTTTGCCATGGTACCATATTCTTTTATTTGAAAACGCTTTATTAGCAATTTTTGTTTTAATTTTAAAAACAGCATTCATATCAAAGTGTCTCGATAACGAGTGGCTCAAAATTGATCGAAAGTACATTTTATCAAAATACAAGTGATCGAAAAGACAATAAATCAAAAATTCATTAAATCGAAAGAAAAATATATCAAAGAACGGGTGCAATCAATGAATTCGGATGGTTATAGTCATAACCAAGGTTGATCGATTATCTAAATAATCGAAATAATAGATTAATTAAAATAATCGAAATAATCTGTTATCGAAAATAATCGATTAATTGAAAATAAACGATTAATTTTTTAACGATTTAAAAAAAAATTAATCGTCTGATTAAGATTACATCAAGCAATGACATTCATCTTTTATTCCAACACACGTCAATAAACACAAACTGTAACTGACATTTAATTCCGATTAGATTTAAAAATTTCAATTTATTACCAAAGTAACATGTCAATGATTATGCAAAACGTCAATGTGAAGTTTGTCAAATATGTGACTAAAAATGGATAAAAATATTTTGGTTGTTGAAATATTCATTTCAAATACATAATGGATTTTATCTTAGGGAACCAAAGCAAATGTTGTTTACAAAAGTTCCGTTTATATTGTTAAATAATCTTTCCAAATACCACTCGAGATAAGAATTTTTATAAGAGAACATTTTGTTATTTCCTTGCAAATTTCAGTGATTTATAATTAATGATTTATGATCACTAATTTACGTGAAATGTCAATGTAAAATTTGTCAAATAGGTGACTAAAAATGGACAAAAATATTTTGATTGTTAAAATATACTTTTCAAATACATAATGGATTTTATCTTACGGAACCAAAGCAAATGTTGTTTATAAAAGTTCCGTTTATATTGTTAAATAATCTTTCCAAATACCACGCGAGGTAATAATTTTTATTAGAGAAAATTTTGTTATTTCCTTACAAATTATGCAAATTTTAATGATTTATGATCAATAATTTACGTGAAATGTCAATGTAAAGTTTATCAAATAGGTGTCTAAAAATGGACAAACATATTTTGATTGTTGAAATATACATTTCAAATACATAATGGATTTTATCTTATGGAACTAAAGCAAATGTTGTTTATAAAAGTTCCGTTTATATTGTTAAATAATATTTCCAAATACCACGCAAAAGGTAAGAATTTTTATGAGATAAAATTTTGTTATTTCCTTACAAATTATGCAAATGTCATTCAATAAAATCTTTCTGAAATAAAGGGATTTTGTTTCGTGAAATTTAGATGTATAATTTCAAAAGTAAGAACAAAATGTTCTCAAAAAATTCTCACCTCTTGTGGTATTATCCCTGACTATCTCCCTAGACCAAATATCAGCGACTATTTCTCTAGAGAAATAGTCGATATTTGGTTTAGTGAAATAGTCGTCCAAATATAACACGACCTTGATTAATATTCTGCTATTTTTATTATTGCTAAATTTCTCGAATATCTTACAATTTGATTCTACATAATTTTGGCATTAATAATCAATTGATTAAAACCCTCGAGCTAAAGCTCTCGGGCTCTAATCTAATTGATATTAAAATATTCTCGAGATTTAGATTCAACAAAAATAGTCGACTATTATCAAGGTCTTGGTATATTACCCTTGACAATTTACAACAACTATGTAATATTTATGAAAATCATGCCAAGGTACGTCTCATTTAACAGTTCTTACTTTTAATTTATATTAAATTATAATATATTTAAACGATTGATTATTTATCATCATTGATATTAAAGCATTGTGAATAAATTCTTAATATTTAATTTCTCTAACAGTTTTTAATATTCTAATATACGATTTAATGTTCGATTATTTGTTTTTTCGATCAACTGCATTTCGATGAATATTATTTTCGATCATTTTTGTAATCCACGATTAATTTTGTGCTACCTTCAATAACGAGATTTCTTTTATTTTTTACTATTCGTAAGAATTGTGGAACATCGATCAGACTTTTATTAAATATAAATACATCCTCCATTGGTTATGAAATATTTTTTCAGGTAATGATTTGCAGATCTGTATTTTACTTTTTTTTCGTTTTATTTTGGACCAATGAATTATCGCGTCCAAAGCAAAACACGCATGAAGTGAAAACCGAGTTAAATTTCTATTTCATAAATATTCTATACTCTATTCATATAATTTATACATATACATCTCTTTATATATAGTATTTTTATAAAACCATGTGTCACCAAGTAAAACTTAATTATTAAAAAAGCACCGCGTTGAAAAATAGTAAAAACTTACCGATTAAGCATACAGTCTTTCTATATTTTATTGTAATTTAGCTAGAGTATATCTATAACTAAAATGATTTTCGAATACGTGTACTTTTAAAAATTTGAGGAATCATCTTTTACAACGAACGCATTTTTCTATTTTTAAAAACAATAAATAATATAACATAACTTCTTTATTAAACAGTACTTTGAAGTTAACTAATTATTAAAAAAAGCATTTCAGTTTTTATTCTACAGGGTGATGAAGTGAATTTCATAAATACATAATTTTCTAAATATCTTCCCTTACGGAACAAACTTTAACTTAAAAAAAGTACTTGTTAATTAATCACCATTATTAATTATTACAATTTATTTCGATAATCCATTGGCGTAGAATCAAGAACCAAGAAAACAATTTAAATCCAAATTTTTAAACTTCACAATTCCTTGTTGCTTCCTCTAAGAAAGTCACATGTCCATAACATATGACAGTTAGTTACAGAAGAAATACGATTTAAAGCACACGTTTTATTTGTGTTAGTTTGTGAATGTTCCTCAGAGATAGGTTGTTAGGACAAAATGAATGAAGAAAAAAACAATAATAAAGAAGCAGAAGGTGCTCAGTGGTAAGAGAAGCAACAAAATAAAGAACATCCAAAGACGGTCATTAATAAAGCTAAAGTAAAAGGTTTAGAACATAAGAATCATAAGAAGAAACTAATAACACAAAAAGTATTAGAAGATGATTGTAGGTAGATTTGCTTTGACTAATGTTAAATATTATTTTTATTTACTGCTTTACTTCTTTTTAGATGCAATGTTTTCAAAACGTTTCGATTAAAGAACGTGAACACTGTTTTACCGAATTCTATAAAATGCATGACAAAAACGAACAAGACGCATACTTGGCTGGCCTAATAACAATCAATAATATAAACAAACACAAAAGGCGGAATCGAGTAAACAATAAACCACTTTGTGCTTCATATTCATACAAGGTGCGATGTTTTAATACAGAAAAGATGGTTTGTGTCAAAGCAATTGCCAGCATTCATGCAGTTACATTGCCCCGCCTAAAAAGAATTCAGTTGTGCATCCAGAGATATGAGGGGCAAACATACTTGCCACCCTAGAAACTATAGCAAAGAAGCTACTATCCTCATTATAAATCATATATGTACATTTTTTACTTATTGCCAAAAAATCCAAATCAGCTGTACCTACCATCCGAGTTACCAGTGAAAGATATGCACAATACTTTTCTACAGGAGTACTACTTTAATGTACTGGAAAATCTTTAAAACTAAATTTAATATTAAGTTTGGATATCCCCGTTCAGACACATGTGCAGAATGTGGCAAATATCAACATACCTTGAGCAATAAGAGCATTCCGAGACGCCGATAAGGCTTCTTGCAAAATGCAAAAAAAATTTCGTTTAAGAAAAGCTGCAGCATTCACCAGCAAAAAACGTGCCTACAAAGAATAAGCTAGAACAGGCGAAATTTCTTGTATTACTTTTGATTTTATGCAGAATTTACCACTGCCACACATTCCTTCCAATCCAGTATTTTTTTCAAGACGTGTTAGGAATCCACGATTTAAGTATTACGGCAGTAACGATGTAACAATGTATACTTACACAGAAGATATAGCAAAGAAGGGATCCATCGACGTTGCTTCTATGTTATTGAACTACTTTAATACCAATGATGTATCTAGAAATTTGGTTTTGATTAGTGATGGCTGTCCGGGTCAAAACAAAAACTACACCATGTTGCATTTTTTTATATATGTTAGTTCATGGTCTTAATCTGTTTGATTCTATAACTTACCTGTTCCCTGTAAGAGGTCATTATTATCTTCCTAATGACCAGGATTTTCCCTTATTTCAAGAAAAAAGTGAAAAATGGAAAGAGTTGAGACTCCAGAGGGGTGGGATAATGTTATTTTACAATCAGGAAGTAAAACGTCACCTTTTAGAGTTGTCAAAGTCGACCAATCCATCATTTTTGACATAAAAAGTGCAACTGACAAAACATAAAAAATGTAAGAATGTTATGAATTGAAAATACTAATCGTTAAGAGATAGCTACATTGGTGTATGGCGGTCATCGCTTGCAGCTTCAAGAATATCCATGCAAAAAAATAAATTTAGAACATGCATACATTCTATCAATTCCAATGGAGAAAACCAAACTGGATACGCTAGAAAATCTTCTGCCTCTTCTACATAACCACAGCAACAAATTTTTTTATAATGACTTGATTCAAAACCAGAAGAGCAAAGAACTTGACACCGCTGCTATGAATAATACTATCGACAATGATGATAATAGCAGTGGCTGCGAAAACTACCAAATTACTGTTAAAATTATTGTTCCTGTAACCCTGATAATGTTTTGAAGTTTTCTTTTTGTGTTAACTTTTATTTAGAAGCTTTTATGGTTAGTTATAGTGGATAAGTTACTTTTTATTTTTGATAATAACATATTTAATAAATTTTTCCTTTAAAAACCTCATAGGTCCATGTATTTTTTTTTGGTTTTCTCAAAATGTTTTGGAAAATGTTGCTTATATTTGTTGACACCTATTAAGTAGTGAAATAATGTTTTTTAATAAAACGTAAAGAACTAGGACCCTCTTGCTTTTATTGTTTTCCCAAAATTATTAGTTTTGAACAAATGAGGTTTTTCCGAACAACGCTTCAATTCCTTCCTGTGTATTTAATATCATACAGCCGGTGGCGGCTCTTGACCAAAATATTGGGTGTTTACGATGACAAAATATAGGTCTCAGAACAGTTGTAGGTAAAGAACTTTCAGCGTTTTAGAAAGATTATACCTTTCTAAATCACTGAAAGTTTTTTACCTATGAGATCTATATTCTGTCATTGGAACCCCAATATATTAGTAACAAGCCGCCACTACATACCGTCATGTTGAATAGATGATCATAATGAGACATGGCCAGGCCCGACTAGAGGAGAGGGTAGCCGGGACTAATTCCCGGGGCCCGGGCTCAAATGGGGGCCGGCAGCGCTGTAAGGGGGGCCCGACAATAGGGTTTTCTGTTCCCGCATGGTGATGTGATTGTTATAAGAAGAATAATTGAAGTTAGGGATCAAATATATTATTGTAGAGGTGAGGACCTTTTTTTTTAGAAAACGATGTAGAGAATTGTCCCGGGGCCCGACCTGGCTCTCTGCGGCCCTGTACATGGCTTTCAGTTTTTATTTTCTTTTACTTTATATTATTTACATCTTGTTTACATTTGAGTTAGATTTATTTAATTTTTTTTAAAACATGACTAGTTTAATATCGAATAAAATTATTTGCAATTTTGCATTTTTACACATTAGAAAAATGATCAATAAAATATGAATCCTTTTATTTTTAATAGTACAATATTCTTATATGTATACAATACGGTTTGTCCCCTAGTTTGTAAAAAAAATACAAAACAAAATCCTTAAAAATTCGTTTTAATTTAATGTCTGACATGCTAAAAAAAAAGTTAATAATAGAATAGAAGAATGTTTTACTTTTCTGTGATTTTTTTGCGTAATTAAATTTTTATTTTTCATCAATCAAAAAACTTCAAAATAAAATGTACTATTTAAAATCGTTTCGATAACTACTTTCAAAACGATTTAAAATATTTAAAGTGATGTTGATTCATTTATTGCGTAATAAGTTTGAGAAACATTGTCAAATTTTATCGTCAAAAAAATGCTTTTTACCAAAACGATTATAAATATTTTACTTTGAACTTTTCTGATCCTTTTGACAATTCCCAGAGAAAAATAAAAACATAATTATCAAATTTATTCTTTGACCAAGAAATTTTTTTAATTAATTGTTAATTTTATGGTTCAAAAACGTTTGCTGTATATTATTTTTGCAAAAGATGGGACACACTTAAATTACGTATATAAACGCAGTCTAAACTATTCTTTTTTAAAAACTAAAAATAAGTCCTTACTATTTAATAACAGGGTGGCCAAAAACGTTATATAGGTATCAATAGTGTATAACTTTAAATCTTATGTGTAGAATAGCGTGTTATGTTAAAGTGGCAGATATAATAATGTAAATGCGCGTCAATTTAAAAAATCGCAAAACTTATATTTATCAAAATAAATGAGCACCTAGGATTCAGAACATTTTGTTCTGTACATTTTCAGTTCATGGCTCAAGAGACATTTGAAAATTATTTACCGATGTTTTATCAGACAACGAATAAAAACTTATGGTGGGAATAGATAAAAAATATTCTTAATTTATGTTTTTTAAATTTTTATTTCTTGTAAAATGTTTTTACACACTAATCTCAACACTTTCCTTTTTTTTCTAAATACGAAAAAAACATTTGTACATTAATAATTGTACCAGCCTTTTTAAAAACTAAGTAGCATGAGTATCAATATAAGCTAATAAAGTACAGCGTTGATAGTTGAAATTAGTGTAAAATTAATTTAATACACTTTGTAACTACAGCGAACGTTAATAATAAGTCATTTGAATCTAAATTTCAACACAATTTTGAATAATAATTATTAAACCCACCACAGCGTCCTGTAGGCAAAATATGATCACACATTTTAAACTTGCATATATCAGTCTTGTATTTACCAGAATATATTTATATTCTCGACAACAATATAGTTTGAAATATGTAAACATACCTCTATTTATTCTTCTTGTTCTTGATTGAGCTCTTGAAACATGCCGTAAAATGTATTCAACGAAAATAAAATATAAGTTGTACTTTTAAATCAGGGCCTGGTTAGGATAAACTTTGCAATTCTTTAAACGAATCTTAGAGATCTGCGTTTATTTTGTTAAATTTTTATGTCACAACAATAAATTTTTACCTTTTAATAACGAAAATTATATTTTAATATTATTTATGTATTAAGGCCGATATACATCTTTCAGTTAAGAAGGAATCTGAAACAAAAGGTATCATTAAAAACGTTGATAAAAGTTATTTTGTAATCAAGCAATAATGAAATGTTAGGTGTTCCAAGATGAATCAAATTCTTGAAAGCTAAATGGTGTACAGGGATTTGTTTTGCCAGAAATCATCGATGTAATCAGGAAAAGCCATCGAAAACGTTTTTTTCTCTCTCACACAAAACGTCTAACACCCAGACAGCATACATAGTCCAATGGACGTCCACTTTAGATCCATTTGAGGGTCAAACCGTCTATATCCGTATTTGAACTTCCAATGTACATCCGTTTATGATCATTAATTTGACAGCTACCAGATAATACCCATCTATATACACTTTCTTTTTTTTAATTTAATTGTTCATTAAAAAATGACAATTTGAATGTATTGCATTTCATTCTTTTAGCAGAATTTTGAAATCTTATTCTATTATAACCATATCTAGAAAAAAGTTTTCAAGTGGCTCCTTGGTCAAGATAGTCTAGTGGTTGAAAGCGTAAAACGACAATAGACGTGTCGTTAGTTGGATCCTTGCTCAGGTCAAGCCATTTTAAATAATAAAAAAAAGAAACGTCATCAAAATAAAAAAAAATAATTTAACAGGTGTTACTACATAGTTTTAACAATGAAAATCGAATTTTGATATTTTTGCATACATATAATTTACATTGAATATATTTAAGATGTTTTTTTAAGTGGCTGTATCGTCTAAACCAAACATTTTACAAACAAATACTTAGAGACTAAAAAGTTTCCCAATATATGTTGCATTTCAGTAGCGTTCGATTTTTAATAAAATTTTATATTACAAAAAAGATGAGTAGAGAAAGGGGCGGTGATACCTTTCAAAATCCTACAAAAATAAAAATAAATATATTACCTCTACCTCGATTTTGTTAGTCATGGTATTCCAACACGTCATATAAAATTTTATGAAAAAAATGTCAAACGGTTTAAGAGCAACGTTAAAGAAATTCATTTAAATTTTTATCTTATACACCCAGTAACTATTTTTGGGTGCACTTTTGTATATAGGTAAGTACGGTTTAATCGACCTATTTTTGACCCAAGAATACGTGGTACAATTTATGACCAATCTTTTTGAAACACCCTGTATATCGAATGGACGTCCAATAGACCTATTTGTGCTGTCTGGTCAATTGATTATTTGAAAGAGAAAGAAGATCCCACCACTGATTAGCGCAAGATAACTATTAGATATTCCAAGTAGATCTGCCTGTTGGCTTTGACAGTTTCTATGATATATGTACAGAGTGCTCTAAATTCATACGACAAAATTCAGGAGGTGATTGCTCGTATGAAATTAAGATGCTAGATGAAACAGCTATTATTCATCTACAGACTGACTAGGATGATAGCAAGGGTAATTTTAAGACTAAATATTTAGTTTTAGATGATACTTACAGTAGCTACCCTAGGCTGCCATGTAGACAGGTGTGATTGGAGTTACAGCTTCAACTGTCGACACTGAACAACTCCTTGTGGAGCGCTGGAAACTCGAGATGCGGCGCTGACCTCTTCAGTTTTCCTAACGCGTCCATGTGCAGCATACTGATTTCCCTAAACATAGATATACAATAAATTAATATAAAAATTTTAATACGTTAACAAAAGTATAGACAAATGAGTACTACTTTAGGTATATGTCAAGAAAACAGCATTAATATTTATTTATGTGTCAAGTCAGGAAAGTGATTATTTATCGAATTAGTATTCATAGAATTGTTAGATGTTGATAAATATCACTAAAAGAGGAAGAAAGTGTATTGGCATTTCTATTTTTTGATTGAAACTGATTATAAAAATAAAAACTTTGTTTTTTAGTTATGAAGTTAGGAAAATTGGTTTTACTTCCCGAAAAATGTTTTAACCTCTTTAATGATTTGTCATACGTTTTTAAAATTATATAAAAAGGCCATTTGAAAGTTAGTAAATTAATTGGTAAATAATTGTAACACAAATTATGAAAGTATCATATTTTATAGATTTAAATAGTTACATTCAAAAGTCAGGAACCTTTTTTTAAATATTTTAGAACCTAAATATTTTCATATTTATAACCACCTCGTATTCTCATTTACTTATGAAACACCCATAGATATATTAAATTTAGTTCGCAATAATTCTATGTAGATAAATAAAAAAATCTAAAATTGTTACCTCAGGGTTGGAATCTTGGTCAGCAGTGCATCACACACTGTGACATCGCCTTTTATCGGTAGGCTATGATTCCTCTCTAGTTCTAGTCGAAGAGCTCTAACGACAGCTTGGCTCAGTCGTCCGATCTCTCCGATTCCTTTCAGTCCGGGTCGGTCTATAAAAAAAATTATTTAATTAAATAATGTGAACGAAAGGCCTTGTTATAAATTGGAATGCTTAGCAACCGTGCGTATGACTTACACGAAAATCGAGAAATCTTTGGTTAGAAACACCAGGTATGAACTCAAATTTCTTTGTTAGTTAGGCGAAACACACATTTTTTTTTTATTTCAATTAAATTTTTGCAGTTAAATACCGCCGAAAATATGCATTTTATAAAAAAACAGTTTTATACAAAATTTTTATAGTTTTTTGGCTAAATTAATTTTTTTATAGCTGACCATAATATGGCCATATCGAGATTATCCTTTTTTTTTTTCAATTTTTTTTTACATATTCCTAAAGTTCATAAAAAAAATAAGAATTTTGTAAAGGAAACATTTTTTTTTATTAGACTTCTACTTATTAAGTAACACCTGCTTAAAAATTTTGCTGCGCGAAAAAAAAGTAGGACATATTATGGTTAGTTATAAAAAAACGATTTAAGCCAAATTTTTTCCCAAAAAACTATAAAACTTTCGTCTAAAACGTTTTTTACAAAAGGCGATATTTAACTGTAACACTTTAATTTGAACACCCCGTATATACATAGTAACAGTACTCTGCAATGGATTCGGAAATTTTAGTAAAAAAAAACGTAAGCATTTCAAATAAAAAAAAAAGATAAATCAACTGAAATTCAAACCAAAATAAAACTAAACTCACAAATCAAACATTGCAAAAAATGCAATCTGGAAAAACATATTATTGACCTAAAGGTAGAACAACCTTTACATAAATAATTAATATTTTTAGAATATATGACTAGACGAATGATATTCACGCAGGGTTGCCAAATTGACACAGGAAAATCTTGACTAGACCATAATGCCATATACAGGGTGGGCCAACAAAAATGAAAATTGTTCAAGTTTAAAAAAAAATCCATTGAACACATCAATTTATTTGTCGAGGAGGAAACCTTATAGACTTATTTCCTAATCCCTTAAACAGGGTGCTGTACGCCCCTAAAATCTTAAATGGAAAGTGGGGTTGAGTGGTACCTTGTTTGAAATGTCTTTCAATTATCTTTTTAAAAGTTCCCCATTTGTGATATGAAATGCAATTTTTAAATATTAAATTTCAAATTTATTCGTTAAAAATTAAAATTAGTTTACGAAAAAAATTTGTATGGTTTATTGGTGGAGGATCTAATATTGTTATTTAGCAGTTTTTACTACAAGTAATCAATCAAAATTATGTAATTCATGTGTTTTTAGAATCGTGATTCGATTTGAAAATTTAAGGTAACAAAATAGCAGTTTGTGCAACAAGAGTGGATATGATGGCCATATTGCACGAAGACGAAATTTGTGCACGAAGCCGTTGGCGGATTGCGATGTGGATAATCCACTCGAGTTGTACAAAATATTTTTTTCTACGACCCACCAACGAAAATTTACAAATAAAAAAATATTTTAGTTTATTAAGAAAAAATAACTAATTTTAAAATAATTTATGACTTTTAATAATTTTTAAAATAAAATAAGCGAAAAAAAAAAAGAAAAAGTTCATTTTATTTTTCCCTATCCAAGAATAGAACTCGAGTCTTCAGTGTGGAAGGCAAGAACGCTGACCACAGGACCACCTAATTTTTTTATTTTTGTTGCTCTAATACTCGTAATTAAATTGACTTCATATAGTTTTATTTAAATTAACAAATTATTTATAATTATATACGAAATAAAAACAGAAATGCTATTATTTATCGATTTTATAAAAAAAAATAACTAAAAAATATTCTGACAATTAATTTGACAGAACACTTTAAAATTTTAAAAATAATAGCAGTCGGTTGATCAAAATATAAACGGTGATTTCATTTTTTTGTAATGTTCTCACTATCTAGAATGGATATGAAATATATTCGTTTAGTTGAAGGCAATAGCATACTTTTTCGTTTTGTAATATGTGCGTAGATAAGCTAATATCCATGTGGGTGTAGAAAAAGTTATTTTTAAGCGTTTCCAGAGCGAAAATTTTATTTAAAAATGTGTTTTGATGGTCTAAAATAGTCTAAAAAAAACGAAAATTGGCCCGTTCATATTTTAGCATACTTTTCTAATTTCTTCACTCATGGTGTCGGATAGAAAAAAGGTCTCAGAAAACACCAGCACACACGTTCAACTTTTCAGGATATTACGTTTGTGTCTCCTGAAAAATTCTCGGATTTACATCACTCCAATAATGACAGTTTTGACGGTTTACAGTTCCATTGACAAAAAAGGAGTACTCGTCGGAGAAACAAATGTTAAATATTAAATGTGGGTGGTCTTTTTTGTGTCATCTGCATCAACTGCTACGGTTATTAGCCTCGTGTTCTGTGTAGGCTGTGTTTCCCAGCGCCACTTTAGGAACAGCACTGTTAATTAGTAGTACCCAACAGTGAATGGTCGAGTGGAGAATCCTACCAAGGCATCAGTATTAATTTTAAATAATTAAATTAAATGAAAAAATCCCGGCCAACGGTGGGATTCGAACCTGGCACCCTTGGATCCGCAGGCAGAGACTCTACCACTGAGCCACCCATCCCGTGTGGGTGGTCTTAATTTGCTGGGTCGTTTATAACTTTGCTGAATTGTAATCGCCTGTCGAAATTATCCTCGTTCAGTTTTGGCACTAATTGAATTTTATAAGGATGCTATTTACGTTTTTTTAATATTCTTCGTACACTAGTTCGCGAAACACCTGATACATCACTCAACTTCGTTGGACTTAAAGGTTGTTCATGAGTCACGTGACCTATAACAGCTACTTCCACTGCTTCATTGACTACTGGATTTACAATATCACGCTTTTTGATAAAATACCGAACCAGTTTTTCGTTTGAAATGTTTGTCTGGATCTGTTGGCTGAAAACTCAGCTAATCTGTATCAAAACTCATCATTTGAATAGAACATTCAATAATTTCAACTCTTTCAGCTGTAAACCATTTTTGTATAATCCAAGAAATTAGAAAGCACTGAATAACAAAAACCACTTTACTATCCTCTAGTGTAGTACTGACTAAATTTTGTTTATCCAATTTTAAATTTAGAGATAAGATGGGCATTCTACTTTTTATAAAAATTTATTAATTTGTAAACATTTCGCCAATTGAACTTATTGCTTTAAAGTTACAATAATTTTCATTTTTATTCAATACAATTTTAAGTGTTTCAGTTTCGACGGGGCAAGTATGATACAATTCATGCTTATCAATTAGATAACTCCAAGATTTAATTAAGTAATATTAAAGTCTTCTAAAATTATTAAATTATTTTTTTGATTTTATAAGCCTCTTTGTAAATGAATCTAATAAATTTGAAACTTAAAATGTTAAAATGACATCGCATATCACTAATTAGACATCATTGAAAAGAGAATTGAAAGACTTTTCAAACAAGGTGACACTCAACTCCACTTTCCATATAATATTTTAGGGGTGTACAGCACCCTGTTCGAGGGGTTTGGAAATAAGTCTAAAAGATTTTTCCCTCAACAAACTAATTTTTTTTTTTAATGACAATTAAGAACCCTAATATTGAACCGTTTCGTTTTCGTTGGCCCACCCTGTATAATAAAATAAGTGGTTTTAAGACAATCGATAATGGTATAAGCTAATGCACGAAATGTGCTGTCAAAAATATTAATTTGAGCGCTCGCCGAATGCATTAATTTATGTGATTATCCATAGAACCGATATCGATAGATAATATTGCGAATTAATAAAATATGACAGCTCAATGGTTTCAGAAACCAATCAGTGTAGTGTAAGTCGTCGTTATGCTGAAAATTACTTGTCACAGTTTTTGTGTTAAATCAAAGATATTTTTTAAACTTACATTTTTTATATTTTCAAGAAAATTCTCTTGTTGTGGGAATTTTCAATAAAAAAAATGTTACACCAAAGTTTTCATTTTTTTACACTTACACTGGTTGACTTCTGAACCTTCGAATTTACAGTAACACTACAAAAAAAAGACAAAATAAATATTAGATTTTACAGCATTAATGTACCAAGCATGATTCTCAGTTATTAGTCAAGTACTGTTAATGATTATTATTCAACTAAATGTATAGAAAATTATTACATTGCGAATGATATTATCAGGATAATGTTAATGACTATATTAGGATAATTTTAAAAAATGTGGTTACCTGGAGACAGCAGTACACAGGCGGAGTACAACGCCAACTCTGTTTCCGTCAACTTCAGTTCTGCTATACTCTTCGATACTTCAAATACGCAAGACACTAACTTCATTTCGGCCGTATCGGAAGTGAAGAAAGCGTCTTGGGGCAGCATCGTGTCTCCATAGAGTACACAGTTTTGGGAGAGATCCAGATATCGAGACATCCTTATTATCGCCAACTCGAAGCTTCCTGGAAGAAAAACTCGAAGCGTTAAAACTAATTCAAAATTATAGCGAAAGAAATACTTAGTTCAGACGTGTTACGCCAGTGGCTTTTTTAATGAAGAAGTAACAATGACGTTATACATCATTCCTACCCATTTTGGTTTATGTTCTTGGTGAAAGGTGATGATGGTGCATTTATTAGAATGAGGAAGCCCTAGGATATGTAAAAGAACCTATAAAACAGTTTCGTTGAAATTTTCTGTTTGTAAAAACCATTCAGTTCATAGAGATTATAATGATACACTTAATTTTCTTAGTTACTGTTTCAGACTTCATTACATCTCTTTGGTTTTTTCTTTTTATTGCTTAAATAACTGAAGAACTTTTGTTTGTATACATTGTAATGGGCAAAATAAAAAAAAAACAAAATATATATAATTACTTATTGATAATTTTTATGTTTTATACAGCGTGTTTCAATAAAGAATGGTCAGTATTTTAATCGCATGTGTATAAAATGGAAATTTTACCGTTTTAGTTAAGTTCTAGTTAAGATATCGTTCTGTTCACGTAAATATTCTTAGTGAAAATTAGTGCATCAGTAATAGAGATATAAATTAGTGTTGTATTAAGTACAAATAAATTTAGTTATGAAAATATACGTTACAATATTTTATTTTTTTATTTATACATTTTGATAATATTGGCTAACATAGAAAATTGCATTAATTTGTGGCTTTTTCAATTATTTGCAGTTACACTCCCTGATCAGAACTTTATGAAATTACCTTCAAAAATATTCTAAACTTCGTTAGAATTTTGAATTTACTGAGAACGAAAAATGTAGAGTTATAACCAAAATATTTCATTATAGTGTTAAAAGCTCTTGAGAAAAAAGATCAAATAACTGGTTTATGATTGGCGAGGTTGTATTTATTTATTGTTACTTAAATTCTAGATTTTAAAAAATATATTCTAATAGATGTCAACACCTTTTCATAATCTGTGTAATTTAATTTTAATTTCAGAGTTTCAATTGTTCCTATCTTAATATATTTTAGATGAACATAATATTAGTATTTAAAATATTATTCATTTCTTTTTTTTAACATTAGAGTGATTTTTTAAAATTTAGTTTACAGGATATTTCAAATCCTTACTTACCTGCTTTAAGTAACACAATCTGATCGTCCTGCGATAATTTCATGAATCCAGGTACCATTTTCGCGAACTCGATGATCTGCTGTATGATGGTGGTCAATTTCTGCGCACATTCCAGCCACAACTCTTCGTGCGCCATATTTTTGTAAAATAACAGTCGCGAGAGATCGTGGGGTTTCCGGAACATCTCGTGGATGTGCTCCAAGGTGTATAAACACGTCCTGGTGTGTGCGTCCGAGATCGTTTTCGACAGCAGCTCTGATATCTGGCTGGGGTCTACAAAAAACAAATTTAAAATTACTAAATTTAGTCATAGATTAATACAAAGTAAAATGAAAAAAAACTTAAAAAGTTATTTCTTGCAAACAAAAAATGCAACCTCCCCCCCAATCTCAATTTATTTGAATGAAAACCCTATAAACAAATATTTGCAAATAAAATTTAACCAGCTATAATTCAAGTAAACTGAAACCCCCCAATCTCCCCATTTTTATAATTTTTTAATGGTCAAATTAATAGTTGAAAATGGTACAAAAGATGCTAAAAAGATTTTAGATTTAATTTTATGTGGTTATATTTGGCTTGCCTCTTCTTCTTTTCGGTGGCCTTGTCTTATGAACCAAACAGATAGATATCTATTAATTGGTTAAAATTTGAAATATATACAAGATTCACTAATGAAAAAGTTTAAAACATCTAAGGAAAAACGGAAAACGACGTGGCAACGTTACGTTTTGTGATAGGCTTAGTATTACTATATAGAGTGAGCGATGTTTGACATTCATAGTCACCTTTGAGTTAAAAACATACTGAACGGCTTATATGGTGTTTATCTGTTTATCATCAAATTTTAGTTCAACTGATAATAAATTTTAAAAAAATTGTGTATGTGTGATCTTAGAAAAAATATTTTTTTAGGGGAAAATGACCTCTAAATTTTTCTAGGATTCTCAGTTTTCTCGTATGGCCCCAAAATCGCTCGAAAACCCCCATATCTCCATATCTCGTTCCAGATGAGCCCTATCCGTTTTTTATGGTCATTTTTGTCTTTTCCAGGCCAAAATACCCTATGTTGAATTATTTCAAATTTTTAGATCAAATAATAAAAATTTTTGTGGTCCAAAATTTACATATTTTTCCTAAAACACTCCAAGTCTCTCTAACTACATTAGGAGCTTCTAAATATTTTTTTTATAACTTTTAAACTCTATTGATCCGCTCTCCACCATATTTTGGCCATATCTTAAATAATATGGGCTCAGAAATGGTTTATCTGCACCCATGTTCTGGAGAGGTCTTCTTCTTAAAAAAAAAAAAAAAATATTTTCCAAACGGTCGACTAATTATGACGTTTCAGGTCGTGGAATACCTTAGAATGTCATAAAAAAAAGAAAATGTCCTCTAACAGTTTGTGCGATTTTTCCTTTAGAAGTTAGATTTTCAATTTTTCGAGGCGAGATCTTCTTTCCGAAAAAAAAAAATATTTTCCAAACGGTCGACTAATTATGACATTTAAGGTCGTGGAATACCTTAGAATGTCATGAAAAGAAGGAAAATGTCCTCTAAAAGTTTGTGCGACTTTTCCTTTAGAAGTTAGATTTTCAATTTTTCGAGGCGAGATCTTATTTCCGAAAAAAAAAAATATTTTCCAAACGGTCGACTAATTATGACATTTAAGGTCGTGGAATACCTTAGAATGTCATGAAAAGAAGGAAAATGTCCTCTAAAAGTTTGTGCGACTTTTCCTTTAGAAGTTAGACTTGCAATTTTTCGAGGCGAGATCTTTCCGAAAAAAAAAATTATTTTCCAAACGGTCGACTTATCATGACAGTTCAGGTCGTGGAATACCTTAGAATGTCATGAAAAGAAAGAAAATGTCCTCTAAAATTTTGTGCGATTTTTCCTTTAGAAGTTAGACTTTCAATTTTTCGAGGCGAGATTTTCTTTCCGAAAAAAAAAAATTATTTTCCAAACGATCGACTAATTATGACATTTCAGATCGTGGAATACCTTAGAATGTCATGAAAAGAAAGAAAATGTCCTCTAAAAGTTGTGCGATTTTTCCTTTTTGTTGATTAAAGTTTATGGATCCGATGACCTTTGACAGAATGTCACAATTTATTAGGATTATAAGTTTTAATAAGCGTTTTTTCGACCGGTTGTAGATATCATAATACTCAAATAGCTATTAATAATGAATATGTTAGTTTATAAAGGATAACAGTTAGCTAGGAAAGAGGACCGACTTACTGGGTAAAGTTACGGACTCACAGTCATCACCGCTCCTCTGCTGCACTCCCGCCACCAAACCCTGCCTAGCAGAGCTACTCTGCGGGACGCTGGGAGAGTTTACAAAAGTCGTACTATCTACATATGCAGGTACCAACGTTTCAACGCTACCTTCTTGCTTTACGGACACCATGGTACCGCCCGAGAGGGTGGTACTCGACGTCTGTGTCACTCGCTTGAAAGTGCGGTTGTCGCTAATCGTCAAGGTAGTTTGCTTACTACCCCCACCACCTCCGCCTCCACCACCCCCTCCACCGCTACCGCCACCATTAGTGTTAGTATTGCCTAAACCAAGAAAACACAAGTGTAAGCCTTCGGTGATTGTTGCATACAGGGTTGGGCAAAATTGGCACAATACCCGATTTGTGGCTCAATTATGGATTGTATTAACTGTATCAGCGACTATTTCTCTAGAGAAATAGTCAATATTTGGTCTAGTGAAATAGTCGTCACAAATATAATTTGTTGTTAAATCAACTGATTAAAGCCCACGAGCTAAAGCTCTCGGGCTCTAATCATATTATTAATGCCAAAAATGATGTCTCATCAAATTGATATTAATTGAATAAAGTTTTTTGAATATTTTTTGCACTATTTAATGGCGCTTGAGGATTTTCATCATCTGTCGTATTTATCAAGATATGACGTCATTGGATGAAATTTTAAATGAATCATCCTGTATTTATCTTTTTTTTTTCTGAATCCATCAACACTTCCTGTTATTTATTGTTGCATATTGGGCTAGTTTGGGTGAAATTAATACTCAATTTAAACTCAACGTGTTAATTTTTAACTGAACTCCTCAAATCTGGTCATCTTATATAGTATCAAAGAACACTGGATTTTATGTTATTTGGTACAATATTGTTTATTTGTCTCTATAATCCTGATACTAATAAAAGGTGACAATATTATAAAAACTAAATACAGTGACACAAAAACATTGGTAGGTATTTCTGTCAAAGATGTACAAGACTTGCATTATTAAAATCAAAATGTCAATATGACATTTACATTGTCGAAAAGTTAAACCATGCCAAAAAAAATTCAAATTGGTTCATTATGATAGCAAAGACAAAAGTGTTATTCATTAATTATTAAAATCAACGTTTACCTTTCTGTTATATTATTTTCTTATAATAAGGTATGTCAAAGACCATCCGAACTCCAGTTTGATGGATTCAGAAAGAAAATATATAAATACAGGGTGATTTAAAATTTTAATCCATAATTGAGCCCCAAAACGGGTGTTCCGCCAGTTTTGTCCAACCCTGTATAAGTAAATATATAGATACGGTGTGGACATTTTTGAATTGGACATTGCTACTAAAATGGTACCATTGTAATGACCTCTAACTCATACCGCTTACCAATAAACTATTTAGAAGAAACAAGGAAAAAGTTTGTCTAATATATCAATATTTTTGATAGTATTATTGTTGATAAAAAATATACTTGGTTTTCTGAGTTCACTTACATTTACTTTGTAGTATTCTTGAGAATATTTTTGAAAATTTAAATTATTCTCTTTAATATTTATTAATAAATTAAATATTTTAGTTAATATTTTTCTCAAAAATACGTATAAAATCAATAATTAAATGATAGTTCTTCGAAAAACAATTATTTTATGTTTCAACATTGTTCTGTTTTTAATATTTCGAAAAAGTTGTATACAAATTTTATTTTACTTCATGTTTAAAAATGTTTTTTGTGTATTTACGATTTATAATTCAAACAAATTAAAAAAAAAAAATCTTAAAAGAAATATCAAAATGAGAAATGGAAAACATTACCTAACACTTTTTTAACACTTATGAATCAAACAAAGAAACAAATAAAGAAACAAGCAACGAAACAAACAAAGAAACGAGACAAAAAATTTAAAATATCCTCCACCATTTTTTAAACAAAGATAGTGCGACTCCACCAATTTTTTAAATTAGTAACGGCAAAAAAAGTTTTTGCAAGCGTATTGGAAGAGATACTTATAGACACAAGTTCATTAAATAATTAAATTAACAACCTGAAGTTGTTTAGAGTGAATGTCATCAAATCAGATGGTCCCTAAATATAGTTTGAGCAACGATTCAAAGTAGCATTTCATACGGCCTCTTGTTTTGCTTGAAAATAAAATCTGAGGGTTTCTAAGAGGCTTTAGGAGTCGCTGATTTTGAATTTGACATTAAAAATTAAACATACAAAATAGCGGATCCAATTATAAGAGAAGAATTTCTTAGAGATCTCAGAAATCTGTAGGTCTACGAGCTAGGAGGTGTTTATCTTCTTAGGAGGTCTCTTTGGGGTTTCTGATTTTGAATATGACATTAAAAATGTAAAATGGTAGGTTTTTAAGAGGTTTTCGAGGTTGCTGATTTTGAATATGACTTAAATTTGAAATACAAAATGAAAAATCCAATAAGAGGTCGACAAAATTAAAAAATTGTCAATCGATGCTTGAAATTGAAAAGACTGTTAAAAATCATTATTTATTTATTCAATATTTTGATTTTCCATTTCTATATAAAGATTAAAGATCCACCTTTTTCTATATAAAGATCCCCTATTTCTATATCAAGATTCGTCATATTAGATCCGCCATTTTGTACTAATCGGTGATTCAAAAACCCCAATGCATCAAATTTCATGGAAAATTACAAAAGTTTTGATTCAGATTCTACTTAGTCAGCTACCTACCCTTTAACAACGTGATATCTTTAACCCTTTTAATGTATTTGTCCCTCCAGAAAGACACTGCCTTAAGTAACCCTGAAGTATGCATCTGTTAATATTTTTGTTTTATTTCTTTATTTGCATATTTTTTTAATTGCTAATAAAAGATGTCAAAATTCAACCATTTAATGCTGTGAAAAATAAAAGCAGAACTGAAAGGGTTAAACTAGACATATTATAATAAATCTAATCTTAAGAAGAATCTTATATAGAAAAATTCCTGTAACAATCTATATAAATTAAATACTCAAATTATAATTTAAATCACGTCTCTCTCGATTTACGATAGCAACCAAGCAATAACTATTATTCACAAGAAGGCGGGCTTGGGTATCACCTAATGATGAAACAGTGCTGCGTAATGGATCTTGTAAAATGTTTCTAAAATTTCTAAAACACCGAAATATGTGGATTCTTGTTATTACTACATAAGCAGTAGCCAAGAGAGCATAAACTATGGAAACATAATTTTAGGTAAAATATTTCTCAATTCATTTAAATGATGAATTAAAGATATTTGCATTAATTTTACGGTTCAATGTGATACTTTGAAATAGTTGAGTGGCAATTTTCGCTTAAGATTTTGAAATAAAAAAACTTTTTACATATACAGGGTGTTAATATATTCGACTGAAAAAGCTCTACGACATCCTTAAAGGGTTTAGTTACCGAGGTACAGCGTGTTAAGAAATTTAAATAAAAATTCATAATTTGTCATAAATCGAAAACGTCTTTTTTTTTCAAATTTGATCTATCAAAATCTTGTCAATTATTAAAAATTTGAAACGTGCTTACTAGCTTAGAATTTAGATTAGAAAAGTACATATAGACTTTTGTTTAGAAGTAAATTTCATTTTAGCTCTATAAAATATTATTTTTTTAACTAAAAACGAACAGAGAATTAAAAATAAATATTTGTTACAGTTGTGTAAAAAATAGGGGTCAAATTTGCCACTAACTTTAATAGTGGTTAAAATTTTCAAAAGTTACTTTATGTCCAAATATTACTTTCTAAAAGAAAATGTTGGTCACTAATTATGAAAAATATTTAAAAGCGTTTTTTACTTATGGCAAATTTTGAATTTCAAACTTTTAACACCCTGTATCTCGGTAACTAAGCTCTTTAAGGGTCCATATTCCAATATCAAAATTCATCAATTAGCGAGAACTCTCTAGGGTAGAGAAAAAGCTGTCATTGAACCTCACGAAGGCGTTAAGTCAGTGACATTTTCATTGTAGGATTAATTTCACTAGTGCTATTTATAATAAATAATTCGAATATTGCTTATACCTGCTGTCACCATGCTCGTCATTAAGGTGCTGTTATCGCTTAAGGGATCCAGACCCGGTCGCGGATCGTAGGCAGTGGTGCTGTCCACGTAGTCAGCAGATATGTCATAGCCCATGCTATTGGGCTGGACTTGCGTCTGGCCCGTGTAGTACGGCGTATAAGCACCGACATCACTGCTGCTGTACGGGTATCTGAAAGGTTACGAAAATTTTGATATATGAAATAATCCAACCAATTAGGTAAGAGTCCGTATAGATGGACCATTCGGTAGAAACAAATAAGTTATTGGCATATGGAAAACTTTTTATTATTAATTTTAGGAAAAAATTATTCTTCATAAAAAATTGTCCATGGTCTAAAACCTATAATACAACCATCAAATATCAAATTTTATCAGTCGTATACGAGGTTTGTTAAAAATTAAGGTACTTCACTATTGAGCAACATTTATATTTTTGACGTACCTCGTATGCGCCTCAAAAACCTTAGTTTTAGGTTTTAGATTATGCACAATTTTTTATAAAGAATAAATTTTTTTTCTTAAAACTAAATGAAACTAAGTGAAAGCCTACATTCTTACATAAATAAAAAAAGTTTTCCATATGTAACCAACTTACGTAGACACACTGTGTATTAGACTGGGCCAAAAAAATTGACGATTTTTTTTTTTTTTTGAAAAATATATCGAGAATGTCATTCAGGATGACAAAAAAAATTCGTGAAAATTTGAGCCCTTAATATTAATTTTAAGAGGTCTATCATCGCTATTTTTGATATATAAAAATAAGTGAAAAGGATTTTTTTCACTTTAATGTTTTGACAGTTCTAACGTAAAACATCAAATTATTACTAAAAATCAAAAATAGCGATGATAGACCTCATAAAATTAATATTAAGGGCTCGAATTTTCACGAAATTTTTTTTTGTCATCCTGAGACATTCTCGATATATTTTTCAAAAAAAAAATAGTCAAATTTTTTGGTCCAGTCTACTGTGTATATATTTTTTAATGGTTAATAATATTGTATAATTAATTATTAACTATTGAATAGAAAGACCTAGGATGAGTGGTTGGGAAACCAATTTTGTTGTAAAATTTTTGTGGCCATATTTATAAACTAACAATTTTTCAGAAAACAACGCCACATTTAATTTCAAAAACAAAATTTAGTTGTAAAACTTTTATAGAATTAAATAATAAAAAGAAAACAGGGTGTCATATTACCTTGATACCGTGTTGTATATTTATTTTAAAATATAGCTTCTTAGGTGCTATATAACACTAGATTGAAACTTTTTACCTATTTTTGATGGACTTTTTACTATGAATTTAATTGGAACCAGATCAGATCATTAAAATAAAAATTACTATTAACTATTAAATTATATTAGAATTTTTGCAAACTTACCCATTATTATAATGGAGTTGATCCCCTGTGGACTGCGAGGGGGGATCGAATACTGAGCTGTCAGGCGCTGAATCGCTCTGCGCTCTGAGCTGAGCTCTGTGGAACCTCACTTCGTCTTCCACTTTCTCCCGCTGCTTCTTCGACATTCTACCGAACTTCACAGCTGAAAATTTAAAAAATGCATTTAAGATTTCATAAATGGTAAAAAGAAGAAGATAAAGAAGAGTTGGTTAGATAGAGAGAGGAAGAAAGCTTTCAAAGTTTCTAACGTAGTAAATGGAGCTGTCATAAATGGTTGCTTTATTGTGGAATCTTAAAATCAGTAAATTATTAAAACCAAACAAAATTTTTTAATGAAATACCGAAATTTGAAGATTTTTGAGATGTCAAGACCAATGACTATCCTATTTTGAAAATTGAAAGAGAATAAAAAATTATTATCAAGATTTATGTCGCTATTGCTCACTTTGACTAATAGTGAGCATCAAGATTAAAATAAAAAATCGTCAGGTGGATTTACAACCATTGTTAAAATTTGAGACCTTGTTTAAAGAAGTCCAAGTAATGGCGACATATAGTCTGCTAGCAAAGAAAAAAAACGACAGAAAAAGTAAAGATTACTACGAGGATTATTCAGTGGAAATCAGTTTGACTAGGCAGCTATAACTCTATTGCCATGGTAGCGAATTTTATTTGCTAATATTGTTTGTTTCAGAACGAGTGATGCAACAGTCAATCATATTTGAATGTTGTTCTTTTCTAAGCGTTGTGACTGTGTTGAAAAATGACAATTATGACACAAAAACCGTCTAAAGTTAATATGCGTACTGTTATTCAGTTTTTGGCTGTTGAAATGGTCATAATGGCAATAGTTGAATGGTGCAATGAATTTGGACACGGACAAATGTTGCAGCATCAGGTGAAAGTGTGAGACAATATACAACATTCACCTTACAAGCCCGACCAGTTTCCATGTGGTTTTAATGTTTTTGACGTATTAAAGACACCATTCAAATGATGGTGGTTAAATTCAAACGCTGAGGTGGTATTTCGTTTTAAGAAATGGTTCCAAAATCAGCAGGAAGTATTTTATTAGCAGGGAATTAGGGAATCTACAGATTAGTGTAACGGTGTTCATTTTTCAAAATCGTTAAATACAAAATTTTTACAGTTTTAAAATGTGTTTCTACTTAACAATCCTCGAATATAAATTATGAATGAAATATATTTTTTTGGTATATAGGTAAATTAAAGCAAAGCAATTTCGGCGACAAAATATTGTGTAATAAGATAATTCAGTTCTCTCCCAAACGTAATCTTGTTACTAAAAATTAACGAACTGTTGCCAGAATCATTGTTTATCGTCCTAGGAATAAGAAAAAAAAAAGATAATGAAATATCAAGAGATTTTCACAGACGGAAACTTTTGGGACTCAGTACTAAATCGGTAGAGAAAACGTATTAGCACAATAAGAATATTATATTGAAAAGTAAAGTGACAATTAATTAAAAGTTATTGCTCAGGACGCTCGATTTTAGTATCAGGGGAAATTCACAGCACGAATCTCCTCTACTATTCCCACTTCAAAATGGAATCAATAAATTTGTGAGTTGTGCATGCCACAAGCTAAAGAAATATTCAAATATTGAAGGTGGAATAAGAATCGTATTTAAAGATTTTTAAAATCTTATGTTTAGCTAAAATTTGTCTGGAGCTTATCGGGACTTTAAAAAAAGGTAAACATTTACAGCAAAATTAACAGAAAATAATTTAAAAAGTACCTTATTCGTTAATAAAAGAAAATTTGGGTAACATCGCAAGAAAGATAATTAACAAAAAACTAAATGTAGAGTTGAAATAGTAGTAAAAGGTATTGAAAATTGAAAAAAAAATTCTACGTTTTCCCATCAGGATCCAGCGAGTACAATGAAGAAGTCTTCATCGACTCAGTAGCCAGTTATTCTTTTTTCGTCACTAATAATTGAGATAATTTTTTAAAAGTTAAAACATATGTTAATTTTCAAAACTAGTTATATTTAATCCCTTACGTTGGTAGAATACATGACTTTCTGTCAATGGCACAAATTTTAGTTAAATATAAGACTGTAAACATCTTAGATATTTCTAAAAAAAATTTTCACACTTTTCACCTCAACTTCTGAATAACCTGTGTACACACCTTTACTTGCTTGGAAAACAAATATTGTTTTGAATAATTTTGAAGAATCATTATTTTTATTTAGTGAAAGCAAAATTTAGCGCCCATTTCTCAAAATAATAAATCTTAGCGGAGAGCTAGATTAGATTTTTCCTATTGGACCAAATTCAGTGGACAGGTTTTATGTATTTATATTTTTGTTATATATAACATATAACATTAAAGAGATATACAATTTGTGATTTAACAACTAATAATATTAGTATTAGACATTCCAACGACTTGTCAAATAGAATACAGAAAAGAAACATACGGTTAATTCCATCACAGAGATACTCTGAGAAAACGACATAGTCTTGCATCTTGGAAGCTATTTTTATTCGAAATAGTAGTCGCCAAGCCTGTCAATTTATGAAGAAATTTATAAGCGAGTTTTTTAAATATTATTTTTATTGTTTGACATAAAATATCTAAATTTAATCCATTATACATGATTTTACGTATTGTAAATAGAATACATCGTATGTCGCAATCCTTAGATACACCAATTCATTTGTTTGGTTAATAAACCTAACCTATATTATATCAATATTCAAAATTTTGAAGTTTCTAATTTAACTAATAGTCAAAAACTTACCGTCTCGGCTCATGCCAAGTCGCAGGCATTTTTGCAGTCGACAGTACTGGCATCGGTTCCTATTTACCCTGTCGACCACGCAGTTCTTGTTTCTCGGGCACTGATAGTTCACTACGGAGCTCTGCGATCTTCGGAAGAAGCCCTTGCATCCTTCGCACGTGATCACCCCGTAGTGCACGCCACTGCTCTTATCCCCACATACTTTGCACGGGATTATCTCAATTTGGGCTGAAATAGAAAAACAAGGATTAATAATGGAATGCTCAAAATAATTTTCAGTTTTTACAAATGGTTTAGTCGTTTTTATTTTTAGTTTGTAAATTTTAATACATAACATAAAATTGTGCAACAAGAGTGGATATGACGGTCATATCGCACGATGATGAAGTCTAAGGCACGACTAATTTTCTAGAGAAAGTACGAACATAATTTATTGGAATGTACCTAAATTTTCAATTATCTTCATAAACTCTTTTTATTGTTCAGCACTGCGTTCCTCCAAGCATTTCAATTAGACGATCACACGATCCTAGTTGTTCTGTTTCTACTTTATCGCTGAACTGAATCACATTTTTTCTTCTATAATTTAATTTTGTTATTGTAAGCAATTAAACATAGAGGCATTGTTTCAGATCAATATGGAGAATTTGTCTTTGTTGTTTGTTCCTATTTGTTTTGTTCATCGCAACTTGAGTAACAAGAGGTAAAATATCCTTTAAATATTAGACTGAAAGGCCTACTGAAAGCCTATCAGTGAAATTTCTGTGCAAATTCGCAAAGCAGTAGAAATGCTTTTAGTAGTAATACCTGCACTATGTGTTTATTTAAGCTTAATTGGAGAGAATGATCGACAAAAAAAAATGTTTCTAAAGCAGAATATAACCGATAAAGATAGAGAGGTGGTATTAAATTAAAACTGACGTTTAGAAAGAAAAAGAATTTGAAGACATTTTTACAAAAACGATACATGTCCAAAATTATCTCTTTTCAGGAAAGGTAAAAAGTATTGTTTGTCCTAATTGACCGCTTGAAAAGAAGAAGAATTTGAAGAGTTTTTACATAACGACACATGTCCAAAATTAGTTTTTTTTTTAGGAAACGCAAAAATAATTGCCATTCCTAATTGATCTTATGAAACGCTTTATATTTCTCAGTGAATATCACCAATTGTGTTGGTAAATACAATTGGCCACTAATTATTACAGTTAACTTAATTTGGGTATTTTTGGACATTTATGTTGTTTTTCAATGAAAGTCTTCAATCAAACGAAAATGGTCATATTTCATCAGTTGAATAACCTCTACAATATAGAAGAAGAATTAATTCTAAGATCCTCTATACGTGACTTTTTCTAAGGCATACTTTAGGAACATTTTTTGTGAATCAATGTTTAATATTCCATTAAATGTTGTTTACCAAGTAGGAAAAGTCTAACATTCCTGGACGACTGTGAAGATTGCTAATTCGAGGAGCCTGCCGAGACTTAGCAACACAGAGTCCAAGAATATGGCTTTCCCTACGATGTAAACATCCGCAAATCGTTTAAAATTCGACTACAAACTAATGTTTTAATTTCAACAAATATTAAAAATTATAATCTATTTCTAGGTATTTATTGTTAGAGATTCAATAAAAAAAACTGACTTACGAGTATTATCTAATGGTTAGTTTATATAAAATACAAATTTGTCTAGAAAACTATTTATATACGAGTGAGAGCTGAAAAGTAAAAAACAACTCTTTTAGGTAACACTCAGTTTATTTTTCTACATGGTCTCCTTTGTACTGGATAAAATGTGTCTTTTAGACACTCTTCATCCATCAAAAATACGATTGCCATTAAATATGGCTGTTCAACTTAGTGTTAATCTTGTAATTTTATTTTTCAAAAATAAATATTTAAATGGCTTTAGTGGCACCGCACTTTATTCTATATTATTAATTTTTGTAAAATTGCTAAATATTTCCTCTTTCAACGACTGTCAAACATAATTATGATAAGAGTAGTAGAAAATAAACTGAAGGTTTCGAAGTAGGTTACTTCATCTTCAGGTACATCTAAATGAATAATCATGGAGAAAATGTAAAGTAAAAATATTTATTACAGAAAACAAAAATTGAAAAAAAAAAAACAGGCAATTAAGGGTAAAGACAAGATTAATAATAACTTACTATGACATATCCATTACGGACTAGCTACATTGGTTAATATAAAAAGTAGTAGGTAGTTAGTAAAAAAAAATATTTAAGAAAAGAGGTATCTATAAGTTGTAAAAAAAATTACAAATTCAATAATTTAAAAATAAAAGTAAACAGGAGACCAAAATATGAATTGTGATTGGTGGATTTCATATTTGTGCAGTGTTCTTACTAGGTAAAATGGATATGAAATATATTCGTTCAGTTGAATGTAATAGCATACGCTTTCGTTTTGGTAGTCTGTGTGTAGAAATGGGTGTAGAAAAAAATAGTTACTTACATTTTTACTTCGAGACATGAGTTTATGTTATTTTGAAACACAATGGATGATCAATCCATATAACTTTATATACAGAGCCAATGGCGCAGCCAAAATTTTGTATTAGGGGGTTTTATAAAAAATTGAGAGTATTTAAAAAATAATAATTTTTAACCTAGTTTAACTTTTTAAATTTCAAAATCGTCTGGGTTCACGTCTGGTTTCGCGTCTGAGTCTACGCCACTGTACAGAGTGTCTCATTACGAATTGAGAATATACTTAGATAAAATATTACTGATTTCCGAAATACAGGGTGTTAAAGTTGAAAATTCAAAAATTAATAATAATAATTTTACTAAATTCCGTAAATATTTTTGGTGTCATAAGATACACCTATCAGCAAAACAATCAGTTAAATAAAATTTGTCGGTGTTGTATGGCATGGAATAGTAACATCTTCACCCGAGTCTTCACCCCTTAAAATTTTGCTCCAAAGACTTATTTGGACTATACTGTAACGATAGTTTAATTTATTTAGAGTTTATTTATTTAAAACACACTATTTACAATTTATTTCTGACGTACTAATTAATTTATATAATACTTAGACACTAATTCTAATTTATTTATCACAATTTAACTTTTCAGTCAAATACTTTATACTAAACTAACTGTCCGCCGATAAGTCGGACTATTTATACCAAGTCCAACTTTGCTGCGAGAAGTCTCTAGACGCTCCCAAAAATTCCATCTCTGACTCAACCAGGGGCGGCTTGTGAACAACATTTTGGGGGTTCACAGTAGCAGAATATAGCTCTCGATACAGATGTAGGTAAAAAACTGTTAGTGTTTTAGAAAAGTATATTATAAACTTTCTAAAACACTGAAAGTTTTTATCATACGTATGTACTGATATCTATATTCTGTCACTGTGAACCCCTAAAATGTTGGCCACGAGTCGCCACTGGATTCAACGGCACGCACCACCCATTCTAGCAGTTTCTCGAAGCGTCAGCGGAATACCTAGGAGATTCCGTCGTTTTGAGCATGAGTCGGGTGCCACAGACTTGAAGATCGCTTGCTTAGACAGAGACGGCTTAGAAATGTTTGATGTTTTTTTAAAAAAATCTCGTATTCTTGTTGGGAATTTTTAAAAAAATTCAGAATTATGTGTTCTCAACAAGATTACATGAATTATTTAAAAAACATCAAAAATCTATTAATATAATCCTAATAAGTTTATGGCCAGTGGCGTAAAGTATATTTGACTGTTTGTTTTGCTGATAAAGGTATCTTTGACACCAAAAATATTAACTGAATTTAGTAAAATTATACTGAGTAATAAAAAAATTATAGCCATTAATAATATTTAAATTTTTAACCTTTTTTTATTTCGGAAATGAGTAATATTTTATCTAAGCATTCTTCGTTGTTCTGTGTCCCATTCTTATTGAGTATTGAGTATATAATTGACTCTATCAAATCTATAGGGCAACAGGGTTGCATTTCAATGCTTACAGGCAACTATTTTGGTTGGATTTGACAACATATTTGCAAGATAGTATTTAAGGAAAACAACATTGTTTTGACGCCATCTCTTGCATAGGCCTATTACTTTTTAGTCAAGCCTCGTAAAGCGAAAAAATGTAAATTTTTCTATATATTAATGGTTTTTAAATGTATTTTTTAAAAAACCCATTAAAAGAAAGGTGTTAATGTCATTTACACGTGTAAGTTATTATCACTAACATTTTTGATAAATGATACGTATTAAATACATTTCCGATACATACGTTTGTTCTGAGTATGTAGTAAAAATAATTGCTAGTAGTAATGTGGGTCTCATTGACGGACATTTGTATTCGAGGAAGGGGGAAAAAGTTTTGGCTTAAGAAGAAAACATTTTTAGGATTTAATTCTTACAATTAAAATGAATCTAAATTTCCAAAAAATATTTTACAAATGTCGGTTTTGTATAAAAAATATCTGCAGCAAGTCATAAGTTAACTGTATCTGTAAAAATAGTGTAATGTACTTGGATTAAAATTAAGAATGTTAGTTTGAGGTTCATATAATAAAAATATGCAGTTTGTCACCTCTCCTTTAATTTTTTGATACTTAAAGAAATTGCAGCGTAATTTGGAATGTTTTATTATAATAAAATTATCATTTTTTAACATGAAAATGAAAGCCAATTCTCTGATGTACTTAATATAATACCTCAGAATTGAAAACACTAAATTCGTCATTAATTACATGAATTTGAATAATTCAAATGTTTTCAAAATCAGATAATAATTTAAGAAGACATTTTTTAAAACTGGTGGTTAGCTGTTATTTTGAAACTCTCGTCTGTCGTTTATATGTCAAAAAGTATAAACAATTCAAACCAAGAAGGTGGGTTGGCTCAATAAAAAATTAATTCTAATGCATAGATATAGATAGGATTCCCCACTCGACCATTCACTGTATGGTTCTAATTAACAGTGCTGTTCCTGAAGTGGCGCTGGGAAACGGTAACAACGCCTACACAGAACACACATGAATAAGAAGATAAACACAAACTGAGACTGGCATATTAAGTATATACACCTAGGCTATAAAACTAAAAAAAAACTTAAACTAAATGGCAAAAGCTTTAACCATTCAAAAGTTAATGGAGGAGGGCTTTTGGTGCTCATTAAATAGTGATTGTAATTAAATTTATAATAAAATTATTCATTGATCATCTGTGATATTTTCTATTCATAATAAAAAGCATATATATATTTTTTAATACGTTCAGTAAAACTTTACCTCTAATGGAGTTAGCCGACTTTCGATCTTCTTTATCTTCAAGGTTTTGCGGAGGTGGAGTCGTAGAATCCGCCGAAGACACTTTATCACCTCGCACTACTTCCCTACTGTCCGTAGAAGTACTCCAAGTGTCCCCCGTGCCGAATATTTCAGGAAATGAGTCCATTTTACCGCACTCAAAAACGTTCGTTCAATTTTATCCCACTCGACACTATCACATTCCGCACGCCGTCGTGCAGAAGGGTGCATGGCCGAAGGTTTTCGAACCTTCAGTATGGTATAGTGGATCAGTAGCTAGCACCCTTCTCCAGGTTAGAAAGTTTAATTCGTTAATATGTTTATTTATGTACACTATGTCAATTTATCAATTTGTTAATGGTCTATAAAAATAATTGTCTTTATTCACTACATCAACCTCCATTTTATATTATTATAACCTGCAAATAATAATAAATAATTGATTTTTATTTTGTAAATTGATGTTTTGCATCGTAAGATAATTTATAGTAAAAACACTTGTATGTATATGAATGATGGATCAATCAAAACTGGTCATTTGATTACGACAAAGTGTTAAATTCCATTTTATAAATCGAACAAATGTACATTATTATATAGACTTTCAGGAAGGATATTTTGATCATAATTTGGGCAATGAGTAAGAAATTATGTATGCGTAGAACACAAACATATAGGTTCAAGTCCCCCACGAACAGAATATTTTTTTTACATATTGTTTGCATTTTAGGGGTTGAAAAATAGTTTTCATTTTTCGTATGAGTAATTTTGTGATTGATTTCCAAAGAATTTAATAGAAAAAAATGGGCTTCAAACATAAGCGCGTCTCAAGTGCGATATACTTTCTGTGGATTGGTCCAAAATATTTTGTTTTACAGCTTTAATTTATGACAAACTTATAGAATTATTAGTATTTGAAGCAATCATATACATACAGTCTGTTAGCTATACTTACGCGGATTTCGGATTAACAAAATTATGCAAATTAGTCATTGACAACCAGTTCCAATACACCTCTTCCCAAGAAATTAGGTAAAATTGCCCTAATGGTCAGATTTAAATTAAAATAACATTAGGGTAGGTACTAAATTTGTTACAAATATTGCAGTTGAATTGATTCTTTGCAAGTGTTGACACTGTATGTATATTGTAAATTTAGTGGAAATTTTAAAAATGCCTAGACGTGTGTTAGATGTAGATAGTCTAATTTGTAGTGTACATAAGTATTTTACGGATGAAAAAGAAAATAGCGGTCCTTTAAAATCGGTGATGTCTGCACAACAATGCGTATGCGATGCTCTAGGAATTAGTGAAACCAAATTAAGAGGAGTATTACAAAATCACAATAGTGAACTGCCGAAAGAAGATCACCGCAAAACTAGCCCATCATTGAAAACGAAAGATATTCCAGATGGACAGAAATTTGAAATTCGTGATACCATTTATCGAATGAGGACCAACAAGGAACATGTGACCTTAAATACAATTCTCTCGGAATTAATAGATAGAAAAATTGACGACATTGGCAGAATAAGTCTATGGCAAGTGATACATAACTTGGGTTTCAAATTTCAAAAGGAGGATAACAGAAAGCCCCTTTTTGAAAGAAGTTCTGTCGTGCACAAAAGAATTAACTTTCTAAGAAAATGTTCTAAATTTAAAGAAGAAGGGGCGAATTTTATATATTTAGACGAAACATGGATATTTTCTAGGGGTGCAACCAAGAGAATATGACAAGATGATAACGTAAAGTCCATCGAAGGTACCGATGGAGAAGGGAAACGACACATAATTTTACATGCAGGAGGAAAATCGGGTTTTATAGAAGGTGCTGACTTAATATTTTCATCTAAATCAAAATCCAGTGACTATACGATAATACGAACACAGAAATGTTTGTGAAATGGTTGCATGAAAAACTTCTTCCAGGTTTAAGTGAGCCCAGCGTAATTATTGTAGACAATGCACCTTACCTTTCTGAAGTATTAAACACAAGTTCAACGAATTCTTGGACTGTTGATAAAATTAAAGAATGATTGACAAAGGAATATATACCATTTCCTCAAAATATATTAAAATCAAAATTATTACGCTTGGCAAATATACACCCAAAACCAAAAACCTTTGTTGTGGATCAGATTATTGAAAGTTACGGTCATCAAGTTTTACGTCTGTCACCGTATCATTACCAGTTTAATCCCATCGAATATATATGGTGAATAGCAAAACAATATTATGACAACCATATTGGGCCTAATGGTTATAGTGACGACGCAGTTCGGGAAACTTGGCGAGAAGCATTTTCAATTGCAACTCCAGAAGTGTGGCGGAACTGTATATCCAAGTGCGAGAAACTAATAGAATATTGGTGGACTCATGAAAATAAAATAAATGAAATAAGTCCAATCATAATAACAATTAATGGTGATGACAGTAATGATGATGACGATTATGATATTTTGAATGATAATGACTGATTTTCATTTTTGTTGGGAAGTTCAATTTTTTTATTTTTCATTTGAAATTCTCTACATGGAACAATTTTTTATGTTAGAAAATATTTTATTTAAGCTAAATAACCCTCTTATTATACATAGACCATATTTTCTGTGTAAAGTGTAATATAAAATTATTATTAGGTTTATAAGAGCCACATTAGACTCCATTAGTGAAGAAGTTTAATTCTGCTCTCAATTATACAAAATATTCTCCATTATTATTTAATCAAAAAGTTGTACATTATTTTTCATTTCAGTTAACCAGTTGATATTTCCCCAAAGAATAAGTCAAACTTTCGGGTACTTACCTGGAAATACTCATAAAAATTTTAATCCGAAACCCGCGTAAGTATAGCGAACAGACTGTAAGCATGAGGGTTCTTAAATTGAAAAGTATCTTGCTTAAATTGAGAATAAAACTTCTTGATTTTTAGTATCTATAATATTCTTTTTCTTAAGAATTTTTTAAGAACGCTTATGCTCCAATAATTAAGCATAAATCGTTCTTAAATTAAAAAATAATGTACTTAAACTGAGAATAAAATTTTTTGTTTTATGCTCCTTTTGCTTAGATTTAGAAATATGAGGGTTCTTAAATTGAAAAGTACCTTACTTAAATTGAGAATAAAACTTCTTGATTTTAAGTATGTATAACGATTTTTTAGTATTACATCTCGTTTAGGAATGATTTTAATTTTAAGTACTAAGAATAAGAATATACATACTTAATTGAACAATTTTGGTGATTAATTTAATCGCTCATTTAGAGACGATTTTTTAGCAGGCGTGCTTAAATTTTTTTAAATAAATAATAGATCAAAAAGAAGTACGAAAAATGCTTATTTTTTGCTTAATATCAGCATGCCTCTCAGTATGTATACGGTCATTCATACAGGTAAAATATAAGTATTTTTTTTATTAATAAGGGTGATAAAAGATAAAAGTGTCTGGCTGAATGGCAATGTGCCTATGCAAAAAAAAAAAAAAAAAAAAAAAAAAAAAACGCTCTACCAGGCGAACTGTACGCTATACAGGTACGGCTCCAAAACTAAAAAAGGAGCAGTAGTTGTAATTTTATCGTACTTAAACTTTAGTTACTTGAATAATTTTCTTGATATACAATCCGGAACGGATTTTTCATTAAACGCGGGAGTAATCTAAGCGACAAAGTTTGAGAGGGCAGAAAATTTTCAAGGAGACTAGACGTTCAACACTGACGACGCAAAAACAAGAGCCATTTTTATGACTATAATAACGACAAGAAAACCTCTTGCGAATTTACAATTTACGCTTAGTCTTGTGGGAAATCATCTCCTTAATTACGCCATGTTTTATATAATCATTAAGTATTTATATTTCTATTTAATAAATAAAAGTAATTTTCCTGCTTTTATATTCTCGCGAGGATTGATTTTACCTTGATATCAAGATGCAGATCACTTATCCAGACAAGCACAAAAACTATTTCATTATGTTAAAAACAGAAAATCAATCCATCCTATAATTCTTTTTCTAAAACCATTAATAATTTAGTGAACTGAAATCGTTTAAGTGCATGTAAGATCATCAGTAAGAAACATCCCTTAATTGTAATAATTTATTTAATTAGGTGAGATTGTAGGCGTGCTTGCTTTTTATAAAGCTATCTCAGTTTCTCCTTTTAATCGGCAATACCCAGGAAAAATTAAACGAATTTGTATAATACTAAAATATATTCAACTGTCAAGTTTACTATTAGTAATTAATGGATAAAACAAAATTTTTTGAAATATGTACATCAGTAGGATATCATAACGTTCTATCTTAAGTAAATATTATTTTAAGTTGTTTTTTTTTTACTTTAATATTTGATATTTGAGCATTTTTGTCCACATAATACTTATCGGTTTTGCAAATAAATTGTCTAGACACCACTACATTTATTATCTGTACTACAATGAAGATAAATATTGCTTGTCATTCTATATTAGGTATACTTGTCAGTTTAAAACCCATATTTTTATTTAGAATTTTTTCAGAATCAATAGGTTACAGCCCCTTAAAAACTTGTTTTTTTCCTAAAGATTTCAAGTTGATATCGTTTTTTGTTTTTTTTTTGTGGATCATTCCATATAAAGCTATGTATTCATATTAGGACCTGCCTAAAGGGCCGCATTGTAAATGTCAATGATTATTACTTCACCTCTTGTTTGGAACACTTATGGATAAGTTTTAAGGTAGAAAATGTCACCTTTTCTGTTGGTGTGTTGTATAGAACACCTGATAAAAATCTAAATGAAGCTGTAGCATTATTGGATAATATAATTCCTACTATCATTATCAGTTATGATAATGTTTTAATACTAGACGATTCAACACAAATAATCACTTAAGTAAAAGTTAGAATATTTTTGGCCTTGTTCAGATCATTGCCGAACTTACACAGGTTACTGATCATTCTGAAACACTAATTGATCCAATCTTCTTAACTATGCCTAATAAATGTTTAGATCATGGCACTGTAAATGTTGACCACTTGGAACTTTACTTTCATGAATCTATGAGATTTGATAAACATGTAAACTATATCTTACAGCAATTCTATGGTGAGCTTCGATTGCTTTATTCCAACAAACACATTCTTCGTGACAAATCCATTAAATCTAATGTATGTCAAAGCTTAGTTTTATCTAAAATACTATACGATATCACTGTATACTATCTTTGCTTAACTTTAATAAATCGAAGTCATCTCCAAATCATGCAAAATATATGTTGTAGG